AGCCATAACAACCTTTAAAACACTAATATTAAACTAACAAAAACTTTTTTCAATGCAGGAAGCAAATCAGTAAGAAAACAACAAGTCACACGATAAATCAATAGATTTCAAAAGGTGACAAGTCAAGGAATCATTGATAAAAATGCACCAGTTCAAACTTCACTGGTAGATATGCTCACATGCTGTAAGTTGTGAGTTTGGAATCATGTGAACTTTATTTGTCCATTCAAAGAGATAAAACAAACACACAGAGCTCCAGACTATCCTTCACTAATAGTGCGGTCTAAGAAACAATCCATCTGTAGACATAAACATCTGATAAAGTACCTGCCAGCAAATCAAAGAAGAATGAATCTGTTAACACGGTGTTCCCACTGAACACGAGTCTGGCTCATCAAGGCTGGTTAACTGATTAGGACAACATGCTTTTTTTGACCTTAAAATACCTTTTTGTCTTCTTTTTCCTTTTGTTATGAGAACTGTACAAATTGTCTAACTGTCACTATAAATAAACTAACTTCAGCTGATGCTTATGATGTGCAACTCTTTTGCGTAAACTTTGATGTCTTTAGTAAGTATGAATGGAAAGTATGAAACATGATTAAAAGTGATCCTGGCATCCAGAAAGAGCCAAATAGTTTAAGATTTATGTTTGGCGGAGGTCTCAGTGACACAACACAACACAACACAACACAACACAACACAACTTTCCAAAGGTACTATTTTCCAACACAAGTAGGCCAAAGATGTGCAGTTTACCTCGGGATGGTGACACATTTTGTGTTGCAGTTTTGTGTGGTGATTGCTTTCTCCAGTTCAGCAAGCTGGCCTGTCTTCTTCAGCTTCTTCACGAGGCTCTTCACAGCCTTCTCGCACCACTTCTCCTCTTGTCCATTCTGGTCTCCACCACCTGCTACGCCCGTTCCACTGCTCGACTTCTTCCAGCCCAAAAGCTTCTTCACCACAGGAGGGGTGAACTGCAATATGGACGACATCTCGACCACCGGGAGTCTCCAGAGGACTCAGCTCAGGTTTCCTCACAACCTGACAGACGGGACCTGGACCTACAGTGTTGGCCCTGGCTCTAAGAGCCCTCTGGTGACAAATCTGTCACAGGGAGGAAGCCTGTGCTAGCAGCGTGCACTCAGGTATGGACGGATACCTTGAAAGAAAGTCACACAAATAAAAACCTTAGTGTACAAAACATCACACAAGAAAACATGCATTGTTACCCTTATCAATACAATAAGACAACAGGTCTAACAGAACATATATTCATCATTAACAGACAAACCTGATGCAGAACCATTTCTGAGCTCTACTTCAAAAACTTCAGGATGATTCTGTGATCAGTAGCTGGATTTTTAATTAGAGACAAACCAAAATGCCATAAATAATGAAGGCCTATGAAGGCTAGATGAATGCCAGGCCCAGGGGGTCTGTAAATTATAATAAAATAAACTGCTATTACCTAACAGTTTAAACTAAGTAAGAACTGGCTGCGTTTAGCAGGAAATCCTTGAATTTACAAAAAAAAGTTAAAAAAAAGGAGGTCTGAGTTGGACAAACACTAATTCTCTGCCAATACCACAACTGTGATGTTTCAAATTACAGATTACATTAAAATCTAGTGAGTTACAAATCAATCTGATTTGTTCTCTTTTTTTTCTGACAATATGCCAGAGCAAATATAAAGGCCAGTGGCATTTTGTTCATGTTTGTTTTACAACACCAGAAAAACTTGAATTACTGTGATATCTACCACAGTCAGATCTGTTAACTTTGAAAGTGTTACACCCCAATAAAGACGATGTATTCATTCATAAAAACACAACACAGCTATTTGAAAAGCACAATTGACCTGTTAAACTAAAGATCAACAGGAATGTCCATTTAGTTTTGGGTTATTATAAACGTGGCTAACTTGTTTGCATATTTATAGCATTAACCCGTTAGAAGTAGACTTTCCTGTATGAGATATGAGCAAGCACAAAAAAATAATTACTCAGTAAATGCTGCCAAATGAGTGTGAACGAGGAAAATATTTTGTAACTTGAAAGTCCAGCTGCTAGCTACCAGGAGGGGCCTGCTGAACTCAAATCACATCATTATATCTGCTGGCATTAGCTTGGAAAACACCTTAGTATTTGCTGGAAACAAAAGCTACAAACTAAACCTAACACGCCAGTAAATTATAGCCAATTTACTGAAAAGCAATGTTTTGGCTATGAATGCTAACGTTAGCTTAACATAGCTAGCTGCCAGCTTGTTATCAAAAATCCTTTTGTTGTGATCCGAGAACATAGCTCCGTGACTTTGGTGCTCATCGCCGGGTTTTCACAAACAACTCGACTGATATAAACTCGGCATTTGTTCTGAGATAGGAACGCCAAGTAGCTTCGTTTCAAGACGGCTGTTAAATTACCGATCTTCAAATAAAACCCTCGCACTAAAAATGAGTTAGCATCTTTGACGAACTCTTCCAAACTGGCTCCCGCTGACTGGCTAACTAACGGAGCTACATCAACAAAACAACACGCTTCAAAGTCGAGAAAGCTGCTAAAGCTTTTCAGTAGTTACCCAGATTTACAGTCCAAAAGTCCACTTCTAAAGAGACAGATGTGCGTAGTAAATGCAGCACCCTACTTACATAAATAAATAAATGTTAACTGTACTGTAAAGCAGCTAATTTTGACACGGCTCCTCTCCAGTAGCTACCAGCGCCAGTAGCCTGTTAGCTTGACCGGAACAGCACAACAAACCTGATAGCAACGCACGAGCTCTTAATCCCTCCTACTCACAATCTGATTGGAGAACAAGTCAAAATATTTAGTCTGAAAAGTGGTGGGTGAAACTAACGTTTTATGTGGTGTGGAAGTCAGTTTTTCTCCATGTTAATTAAAACTCATAAGTTATAATTTGAAGATAGTCCCTCATACTGAGGAGGTCATCATTTAGAAATAGTGTTTATTTKCATCATTCAAAATGGTAAAATGACATATTTTATTTTCAAGATATTCTTTATAGCATCTCATTAATATGATTTAGCATTTCAAAAGATGAATTAGTGTATTTTAATTATAACTTAGCATTTTAAAAAGTGACAAATTTTAAAGTAGGCCTATAGCATTTCCAGGGACGTGCACAGATAGACGTCAGGTGGTGCTCGAGCACCTGCCCTTTTCCCTCCAGACCATCAAGTGCCCCTGTCCAGCCCGCTTTTTTTTGTCATGCTCCATCTGTCGCCCTTGGTTGCACTTCTTATTAAGTGTACAACTATAATGGCAACAGTATTTATATTATTACTAATAATATTGCCCTCACACCCTGCCTTCACCACACACACGTGCCGTGCGCGCCCCCAGCTCCTGTGCGCTGTCCCTCGGTGAACGCGCTGCGCGCTCGGACAGGAGTAGAGTCTACAGCTCCAGGCAAACTGTGCGGGACTGTCTCACATGTTTCACTCTTGTCCCGGTGTCGCACAAGTTGAAACAAAGTCCCGCATTTGACTGATCAAATTATAACAAGACATACAAAGAAGAAAAAAGAAAGGGAAACAATCGACAGACGTTTTTTTATTGGCTGCAGTTTACAACCATTAGAAAATGCCTCCTTATTTCTCTCTCTGCATTCTATGCAGGAGGAGGAGGAGAGAAGAAAAAGGCATAACAAGGCAAAGACACAGCAGCTGCCAATCAAACGCGCAGCAGCGTGTCCTGCGTGTCACAAATAAATATCTAAACACGTGAAAGAAAATGGATTTTATTTATGCAGAATGTGATGGAAACTATGTCAAAACTTCAGCAAAATAATAATTGGAAAATGCTTGAGGAAAGTGAAAGATGATTCTCAGAGAGAAAATTGCCAAACTCTTTTTTTCCTGAAGGAAAACACACCATGAAGCAACTGTTTGTAAAAGAGATTCACACAAGGAACACAGTTCAGAGAGCTGCCTGTCAGTCTGTGGACAGATAACAGCACAGATCATCTGACCTGCTTATGGTTGTCTTATTTTTTATCATGATAAAAAAATAAACTTAAAATATTTTTAACCAAAGCATTTTTTGATGAATTTTAATAAAAATACGTACTTATTTTTTCTTAAAAATCTTTAAAAAACATTGTTGTGTAATAACAGCCAAAGCAGAGAGGAATGAATGTGTTCATATTAAAATAACACAATGTGATGGTCCACAGGATCTGGTCACACTTTTTACCCACTAAACCTCAGATGCTGAAGTCAAACTTCACTTCCTGTTGTCTGTAAAGACTAATGAGGCAAATATTAATAAAATTAAGTTTGAAAATTTCAGTATTCTTTGATTTTAGTGTGAAAAGAGAATTAGCTTTAGTTTTATTTTTCTGTATTTTCTTTTCATTTTAAAGGCAAACATTGAATAATGAATCCTAACAATGGGTTCTTTTTAAATTTAATCTCTTCTTTGTCAGGTTTTGTGTGTTCTAAATGGAATATAAACCATAATTTGGAAAATAAAATAAGCATCATAAGAATAATTTGATTTTGCTTCAATAAATATTAACAGAAATTGGCTCTTGATCTGGACTAAGTGTGGAACTTTCGCCCCTTGTGAATTCGACCCCCCTGTGTTACAGCGTTACATTTTGACAGTAATTTAGAGTCTGATTAGTTTAAATGTTGTAATTTATTGCACTAACCTTTGTCACCAATCCGTTTCACCCAAATAAACATATTTCATATTGTTGGTGTTTTAGCTACAGCAGAGAAGCAGCTCTATGTTTTCTCCTCCGTCAGACACAGATGAAGCTGAATTGTTAGTTCAGATCATGGAAACAGCTCTATGATGGAGAGACTGAATGAAGATCCTCCACAGAACAAAAAAGCCATTAGTCATTTTGAGAAAATAAACTTAAGTATAGTTATTTTATAAACACTACAAAAATTGTCATTACTAGTTTTTGTTCTGTTGTTGCCAGTTTGTTACAGAAACCAACCTGTAGAGTGTTGAATATTAAACATCTGTATCAGACAGAAAAAATCTGATTTAAAATAGATATGCACAATGTACAAGATGTGTCTGTAATGTCACATTATTAGGACAGCTGCTGATTCCATGCACCGGATAAGGTGCACAAGGTGCGCTATTTTTACATTTGAGCACCTGCCCCCAAAAATGTCAGTGCACGCTACTGAGCATTTTGTAATTATAGGACACTAAGTCATAATTTTTAGGTAGTGTATCATAATTATGTAAGTGATGCTATTTCATAAGTATGATATCTCATGAATATCAGATATTACAAATTCAAATGGTGAGATAGCATCTCATCATAATACATTCACTATATTCCCATGCAGCATGTCTGTTTCCAGCAGTCATAGTAATAAATAAATAAATAAATAAATAAATAAATAAAAGGGTGGGAGGAGGGTGGGGGCTCACCCTGGAGTCTGGACAGGTCACAAGTCCATCACACGAGCACATATATATTTTTCATAATCTTTATTGTCCCTGTATAGAGACAAACCAGACAAGCAGCCTCACAATTATAAGATGTTTAATAATCATTGTGAGCTATATAGAAAAGTCATATTTTTTTAAAAAAAATATTGTTTCATAATTGCGATTCAGAAAATCTGTTTTTATTTTTTGGCCAAATTGGGCTTTCATATGTTTCAAGTGATTACACAAAAACAGTATTTATATAATTTATTTGCCAAATATAATTTTCAGTAAAAGATGGCAGAACTTAAAACACTACAAAATTAAATTAAATTAAATTAAATAAAAAATGCTGTGGTCATGGAAACATTATAGGATTTTACATGTAGTATTTGTAAACTTATATAGTAAAGAAGTACATTTACTTTGTTACATTATTTACGGTAAGTCATTTTTTTGAGGATTTGCAATTTTTCCAAGTTTTTCTTAATCATAATGTTTACTTTTAATTAGTCACATTCAAAACATAAAGTTGATACATCTACTTTAGTTTAAAATATAACATCTAGTTGTATGTTACAAACTGAAGTATGACTGGAACTCATTAAGAAAAGTGCTGTTTCTGCACTCTAAAAATGCTGTTGCATTTAATTAACCAAGTGTCAACTGGTTCCACTAACATGAGTTGAGTAAATTTAAAGCAATTTACTCAACTCAGTTTGGTGCAACCAGTTTGGTTAATTAAACTCAACACTTTATTTCTTAGAATAAAATTAATTTTTACCATGGTCATTTTCTGTTAAGGTATTTTTACTTTTACTTAGTTATTTCTTTCAGATACTTTATATGCCACTGATTATTTGTATTATTACCAACAAAGGCACTGAGGAAGAACATGAAGCTCCTCCCCTGACTCAGGTGTTCAATTAGTCTGAATTGGCCTCACCTGCTGCCTTTATAAGTTGCCCCAGTTCAGTGTGTTGGAAGTGTCTAGTCTGTTTTGCTCTGCTTGTGGCAATGGGAGGATGGATATGTCTTTGTTTGGCATTACTGGCATCATACTTGCAAGGTAAGTCAAATCTTTAGTGTTTATCCTTTTTCTCTCACAGTGAAGTCTTTTATCACGAGCTCCTTTTGTTTCAACCAGTTGTTTCAGCTGGAAGCAGTCTTATGAAGTGCAACCTGGGCACAAAACTGTGCAAGGATGGCTCAGAATGCATCCCCTACAGCCACGTGTGTGATGGAGAGCCGGACTGTAAGGATGGCTCAGATGAAGAAGACTGTGACTCTGGATGTGGTGATGGTATGTTAAGTTTTAAACATTTTTTTTTCAACTTGGATTACTTAACCCATTTTTTTTTTCAATAAACTTTTAACTTTCAATGTGGATGGAAATCCTCTTAACACAATAATTGCATGTGCAGTCCCCCCCGGTCTAATTGTGTCTRAAGTTCCCACACCAGAAACTAATTGCTTTTATTCTTGGTAATCAACTTTATTGAAACTTTTAACAAAGCAATGAGTTTTTTTTTTTTAAATGTAGCAAACTGAAGATTTTAGCAATGCAGTGGGTGACTCATTTTATTAATCCTTCCATTGTTCAGGAAGCAACATTTTAGCATAGTTAACATTCTGAAACCTGTGATGGGAAAGTTTCAGTCAGCAGTAAAGAGTGGTGTAAATGTTGCCTACATTAGCTGAATTATTAATATTTGCACCATAAATTTGACATTATGAATAACTTTATCAAACATTTGTTTCAGAATTGAGATGTAACTTGACAACATGGTGAATTTGTAACATTAAGTCAATGTCTTTTCCCCTTCTGATCTGCACACAGATCAGTTCCAGTGCGCCCATGGGATGAAGTGCATAGACAAGAACCAGGTGTGTGATGGTGTTCCCCAGTGTCAGGACCTCTCAGACGAACAGCACTGCATGAAGCAAACTGAGAACTGTGCTCACCATTGTGACGACAAGAATCGCTGCCTGCCTGCGAGCTTCATATGTGATGGGGAGAAGGACTGTATGGATGGCACTGATGAAGCCAGCTGTGGTACAGCATGACTTTAGAGGAGTGACTTACTGCTGGCTCTTTTTTTTTTTTGAGTCACTTTATTCCTCTTCTCTTTTTCAGAAGACAAAGATGATGCCAGTACAGTTCCTGTACCTGCTGCCCCTGCTCCGGCTCGTCCCATAAAGTGTCCTTTAGGCACCAAACTCTGCAAGGACAACTCTGACTGCATTCACTACAACCATGTTTGTGATGGGGAGGCAGACTGCAGAGATGGGTCGGATGAGGAAGACTGCTTATCAGAATGTGAAAGTGGTAAGTGACKTTTGAATTGGCAGTTTAAAAACAAAACATAAGTTGCTGCTTCAGTGAATTTAATACAGTGTCAAGGATGCCTATACAGTAGGCTTTTTGACTGCAGAAGTCCTGTATGCAAGTAAAGGAGCCTAATAAAATGACAATGAAAGGCTCACCTTGCAAATTGAGCCATATTAACTTGACTCAAAAAATGTAAAGCAATTGTTTGGCTTGCCAATTATCCCATCAGATGCTATTGTTTGAGTGATTCTGTTTCTGCTGCAGACCAGTTCCAGTGCCACCATGGAAAGAAGTGCATAGAAAAGGGCCAGGTGTGTGACGGTGTCCCTCACTGCCAGGACCGCTCAGATGAACTGCACTGTGCTAAACGCATGGAGGGCTGTGCTCACCAATGTGATGACAAGAGCCGCTGCATTCCCAACAGCTTCCTCTGTGACGGGGAGAGGGACTGCATAGATGGCAGTGACGAGGCAACTTGTGGTAGGTTGTGCTCCAGAGCAAAGCTTCCAACCCTGGTCTTGATGCCCACAATTTGTCTAATATCTCCCTGGTCCAGTGCAGCTGACTAACATTTTGACAAATTCATAGTAGAACTCTTCAAGTTGTCGTCCTTGACTCGTCGTTCTGGCTGTATTGAAGCAGGGAAATGTGTTTTGACTTGTCTTGAGTTTTTTTTTTTTTTTTTTCCTACTGGTCAGCTTAAAGTATTGTCTGACTTCAAAGGACTAATTGCATTGCTTCCTCCTCTGCAGATGAACAGAAGTGTAGTTCAACAGAATTCAGATGTACCAGTGGCCAGTGTGTGTCTGCTTCAGTGCGCTGTGACGGTCACCCAGACTGCTGGGACCGCTCGGATGAGGAGGGCTGTACCAAAGCACCAGTCTGCACCACCAAACACCGCTGTCCCCAAAGCAAGGAGTGTCTGGTGCAGGAGTGGATTTGCGATGGAGACCAGGACTGCAAAGATGGCTCAGATGAGAAGGTGGATGTTTGAACTATTTGGGCCAATTCTCTTGTCTCGTTTACTAAAATTTGAAAGTGGGTGGGAGTCAAAGCTGTAAACCAGGGGACAACAAAGTTCTTGCAGTGGGAAATTAAAATCCCCAGTGACTAACAGAAAACAAAGGTGAATCTTAAAATGTGCAATTTAACATTTATTCAAATCTTATGGTCAAGGACCAAAAACTTGCATCCATATTTACAAATCAAGGAACATGAAATTGTATTTGAACTTATAAAATTTTGGTTTGACAGCCACACATTTTCAGTATTTGCAACAATTCTTGGAACAGGTCATTGCAATGGGTTCAGAAAACTTATTAAACACTTTGAGCTTCAAATTGTAAGCCAATAAAAGTCTTGAGTTCAAAGGTCCACCAGGCCACAAACCTTAAGTTGCACTTTAGAAAGCGGTGCTTCTGTCCTATAGCTGCAATATTGTAGTTTGGTTTTAAAATGCCAAATGTCACTTTACATGCCCCCAAACAAATTAAACTGAAACTTTATATTCTTGAAACATGCCTTACACTTAAACGCCTGTCAAATCCTTTAGGACTGTCCYGTGGTTCCACTCAGCTGTGGTGACTTCCAGTGGCTGTGTAAATCAAAGACCAAATGTGTTCCTGCAGTCTGGAGGTGTGACGGCATGAAGGACTGTGACGATGGCAGTGATGAAGATGAATGTGAGTAGATACTGGAGTACATACTGAAAAGTTGGTAATTGTAATATTTACTAGTGTTTCAATTTCACCATATTTAAATGCAACCTTGGCAGTGTAAAACTGACAACTGTTATATGCTGCTGGCATAGTTTACATTAATTACAAAGCTCCAAATGAATTCAGCAACGTGGTGTTACTGAGTGTATAATGTATACTTGCAGGTGGGATGGTGACATGCCTCCCTCATGAGTTCCAGTGTGGCAGTCATGAGTGTTTGAACGTGGCTCTGGTATGCAATGGCATTACAAACTGTGCAGATGGTTCAGACGAAGGAGGCAGCTGCCAAACAAACTGTGCAGAAGCAGATGACTCGCGCTGTTCTCAAGGCTGCTACAACACACCACAGGGACCTGTGAGCTTTTAAAATGTCTTAAAAAATTTTTGGTTAGACTTAAATGGAAACGTAAAGAACAGCTCCTGCAGAATCTAACTTGTGTTTGCCCACTGAAACATTGATACTGACTTGTGTTCTTGTGCAGCGCTGTCGTTGTGCAGCTGGTTACAAACTCCTGGAGGATGGACAGACATGTGCTGATGTAAATGAGTGTGAAGGTCCAACACCAGGTGTGTGCAGTCATTTGTGCATCAATACTGCAGGATCATACCAATGTGACTGCCATCCAGGCTTTATTATGGAGACGGGTGGACACCAGTGCAAGATCACAGGTAAAGCATTTTATTTAAAATGAAAAATGAATGATATTCTTCAACTGAATTGGAAATGCTGGCTTTTAAAGTCCAAAAACTGCACCCAAACGGTAAAAATGGAAACAAGTCGACTCTTATCAAGCTTACACTTGAATGTTTGTTTGAAGTCTTCCTGGGGAGGGGATAAAATCAAATTAAAGCTACAATTTAATTGCAATGACAGGAAAGTTACGGCATGAAGCAGTGATTTTCATTATATGTATTACAAGCACTAGACCCCACACAGTTTACAATTGGTATATTGTACTAATGGTGGTTAAACACTTGCACCCAATAAACAAACAATGCTCCATGCTTTGTAGATTTTCTGGAGCAAATAACTGTTGCATGAAACTACTGAATTGCAATGAAACTCTYGCTCTCAGGTGAACCCTTCCTGCTAACATCAGTCCAAACAGAACTCTACTTGTATGGTCTGCGCGGTGGAAATCTAGACATCCTGTCGTCTTCTGCCAAGAAGGCAATTTTTTCTCTGGACTATGACTGGAGGGATCAGAAAGTGTTCTGGGTCAGTGTGGACACTGAGACTATCAGATGGTCTTCAATGGACCAGAAGACTACAGGAATTCTGATCAAAGGTTGGAGCAAATCTATAAAGATTAAGAATGGCATGAAAAGGTACCACCTTAATGCTTTTGTCTCTAGGAGTCAGGGCTGACTCTGTGGCTGTGGACTGGCTTGGGAGAAACCTGTACTGGATTGATGGAGTGAATAGTCAGATTGTTGCAGTCAAACTTGCAAAAACCTCTGTGAAATCACTGGACAGAAGCATCATCCTGGATGAAGACCTGGACCAGCCTCGCTCTCTGGCCTTGCTGCCACAAAAAGGGTGGGTTTGAGGTCTTTAATGAAAGTGAAACTTAAATCCCCAAATATTCATGCTCTTTACCTGTGTTCTAGGCTGATGTTTTGGACTGAAATTGGTAACATGGTAAAGATTGAACGTGCTGGAATGGATGGATCAGAGAGGAGGGCAGTGGTAAACTCCAGCTTAGGCTGGCCAGGTGGAATTTCAGTGGACTACATCTCTGAGAGGGTCTACTGGACCGATGAACGACTGGGGGCCATTGGATCTTCCACATTAGATGGTGGTGATGTGAAGGTAAAATAACAGTTCAGGAACTTCACCACAACTTACCCCACAGCCAGTAAAGTTAAACTTGTAAATGTGAAAGGTGCACTTTCAATTGCATTCAATCCAGTTTAATCACTTGAAATCCTGAATTGAAACTTGTAAAGCACCCTTGATGAACATGGTCTAGCAGTTAATGGCTTGTCATTGTACGGAGCACAATGAAATAACAATGAACACCCATTCAACAAGACACACACTTAAAATTGCTTGACTTTTTTTCAGATTCTTCAGTTGAAGGAGACAACAAATCCTTTCTCTGTGGCTGTATTCAATGACATGCTTTATTGGTCTGATGCCAAGAAAAGGGTGGTTCAAGCTGCTAATAAGTTCTCTGGCAAAAACTGTCAAATTCTGCTAAAAAGACCAGGACAGCCTTTTGCTGTGAAAGTGAGTAAGATGATTCTAGTTTAAAATGTGCAGTCTTGAGAATTTGAAAGCAAAGGCATAAAACCTTGCTGTATTTCAGCTCATCCACCCAATACTCCAGATGGACACAGGCAGTCCCTGTAAGAAGATGGACTGTTCCCACATGTGTGTGGTGGCTCCAAGACGCAGAGCTGTCTGCATGTGTCCCTCTGGTCTCATGCTGGCTGTAGATGGTGTGACCTGCTCCAGTCAGGTTTCACCAACAATCCTGCTGCTGCTCTCTCCCACAGCTGTCATGAAGGTTAATGTTCCCTCATTGWTTCAGAGCTATGCACTTTGTTCCGATGCTAGCATGTGAAATTAAAATTTGATTCTCAAAGCTTCAACTTTTGAACCAGCTCAAACTACACTTACATTTAAAGTTGCACTTTAACTTTTAAGTGTAAATAGACTTTTTGCCTCTTTTGCAGATCCATTTGCAGTCCCAGCTGGCAGCTGCTGAGTTGAAGGGCTGGCCTGAGCACTTGTCACTGCAAATCCCCAACATGAATGAAGCTGCCATCATGGACTACAGCCTACAAGACGACACTCTGGTTTTAACCGATGATGCCACAGCTTCACTAAGCTCCTTCAAGCTGAAGGATTCTGTTTTGATCTCCCAGGGCCAGCTTCTCAAACTGCTGGATGATAAAATTACTGCCATGGCTCTTGACTGGGTAACCCTCAACGTGTACTGGAGCAGCAGAAAACAGCCACGCCTACAGGTCACTTCAAAAACTGGAACCTACACTGCTGTTGTCATTAAGGATGGAATTGGTGGAATTGGTGGTATTGCTCTCCACCCTCCCAGTGGAATCGTTTGTTTCACAAATTTAGATCTGCATGACACAAGTAGCAAGGGTGCAATAGAATGTGCTCACATGGACGGTGCACAGCGGAGAGTTGTGTGGAAGGAGGCAGTCCAGCCTGAATCATTGGCCTTTTCTAAAGATGCAGATACCATCTACTGGGTTGACATGGGTAAGCATTAAAAAAATAAAACTAATGGCTCTAATGTGGTTACAGTAATATGATGATTTTATATATTTTCAGGAATGGGGACAATCAATGCTGTTCACATCAATGGATCTGGATATAAAAAGCTGGAGACGATCAATGGCCTGACTGCAATGACTCTTGTTGATGATGCACTGATCTGGATGACTACTAATGGTAATGGCCTATTTGAATAAAATTACTTGGTGTTCGGACAGAATATGCTTAAATGGAGATTAGTAGAAGTACATGCATTGACCAMATGTTTGCCTTCAGACATGACGAGGCTCTGGTACAAGAGAGAGCAGCAACAAAAAATGTGGTTTGAGGTTGATGCACAAGTGGTCAGCTTAAAATCCTTCAAGTCTAGTCATTCAGGTAAATGACTATTATGATGAATCTTAAAAATGACTAATTTTAAATGCTTAAAATCTAAACTAGTTGCTCCAATGTCCTAGGTTCCAATCACTGTGCTAAAAACAATGGAAACTGTCAGCACCTGTGCCTCGCCACTCCAGCAGGCCGGACATGCGAGTGTGCTCATGACTACACGGTGAAGGGTACAAAGTGCATCCTACAGGAAAGCTGCTCACCTGACAGCAGACCATGTTTGGACCAAACCTGCCTTCCTGTCGCAAAGTTCTGTGATGGGCATGCAGATTGCGCTGACCACTCGGATGAAAACTGTGTGTACATGGGAGGGGGGGGGGTGTTAAAATGCTTAATGTACTGAATTTATTTCTTTATGTTAAGGTGTTGGCCTCAAGCAGTTGTCAGGTTCCAAGGTGTCTCCTACCATCCAACCTCGTGGCTCTGCTCCTCGTCCTTCTCCAGAGATGGACCAGGACGACTTGAGTGAGCTCAAGAACCTGGACGCTCTGAAGTGCAACCAGGACCGCTGCAGTGGTAACGGGCTGTGTGTGGAGACTGAAGGAGTCACTACTTGTCAGTGTTCAGAGGGCTACAGCGGTGCCACCTGTAAAGATCCTGTCGCAAAAGGCTTGCCAAGTGCAATCATCTATGGAGCAGCTGGTCTCTCTGCAGGGGTTGTGGTCATTGCTGTAATTGCAGTGGTGGTCTTAAAAAAGAAGGGTGCATCCAGGTAAAGACATCCAGCATGTCAAACACAACCAGAGGCTTAAAAGTACAAAAATAGTAATGTCATTCCATTCTTTACAGGAGCAGTAACTCTGAAATTGAAAAGGAGATGAGCATGTCTGAGCTACAGAACAAAGCAGAGACTACCCCCTGCACTCAAACTGCCCAGGCAGATGTGGAAAAACCTGAGGTAACTCTAGATCTCTACACAAGAAGTTTTACTCCTGGGATTTTCTGACTTTTTTTTTTTTCTTTTACAGGAACCATCTTCAGGGAACTGATGCAGATTTAAATCATTTTAAATAAAAGCTTTGCATTTTCAATTGCCTATTCTGGTTAATTCAGCACAAGTTTCTATTTTACATGAAACAAACCTGAATTCAGTCTTTAACATTCAGCAGCTGTTTAAAGTTGACAGGGTTTGATGTATATTCAAATGCAAAATGGCAATTTACAATTTTCAAACTTATATATTTAACCCTTGTCACATGGAATATACAGGTCCTTCTAAAGTGATTAAGTTCATTTTCTGTAACATACTGAATAAAAATCATACTTTTTAGATTCATTGCATATCAACTGAAGTAGTTCAAGCCTTTTCTTTTAATAACTTGGCAAAAGWAAATTACATCCCTCAAAAATTGCACATTTCAGCCAACCAATAAGTGTTAATACAAAAGTCAACCTTCAAATTATGTTCAATTATGCACTCTAAATACTTGGTCGGGAATCCTTTTGCAGAAATGACTGCTTCAGTGCAGCGTGGCATGGAGGCAGTCTGTGGCACTGCTGAGGTGTTATGGAGGCCCAGGATGCTTGGATGAGCTTAAGACCCCTATCCAGAGTGTTGGGTCTCAAGCTCATCCAGAGTGTTGGGTCTCAAGCTCATCCAGAGTGTTGGGTCTCAAGCTCATCCAGAGTGTTGGGTCTCAAGCTCATCCAGAGTGTTGGGTCTCAAGCTCATCCAGAGTGTTGGGTCTTAAGCTCATCCAGAGTGTTGGGTCTTGAGTCTTAAACTCATCCAGAGCGTTGGGTCTTGTGCCTTAAGCTCATCCAGAGCGTTGGTTCTTGTGTCTTAAACTCATCCAGAGCGTTGGGTCTTGTGCCTTAAGCTCATCCAGAGCGTTGGTTCTTGTGTCTTAAACTCATCCAGAGCGTTGGGTCTTGTGCCTTAAGCTCATCCAGAGCGTTGGTTCTTGTGTCTTAAACTCATCCAGAGCGTTGGGTCTTGTGCCTTAAGCTCATCCAGAGCGTTGGTTCTTGTGTCTTAAACTCATCC